GGCGGGGCGGCAGCCTAGAGCGGCCCCGGAGAGCGAAAACGGAACTGCAGGTGACTTCGGAGCCCAGCCGCCTCTGAAGGGAGGGCGGCCCCCGTGAGGACTGGTGCAGGCTTTTCACGAGATATCGGTTTTGTTTTCACGGCGCAGAGAGGTGAGGGGAGGGGTGCATATCAGATATTTACATTACAATTCATAACAGTAGCAACATTACAGTTATGAAGTAGCAACGAAGATAATTTTATGGTTGGGTCACAACATCAGGAACTGTATTTAAAGGGCCAGAAGGTTGAGAACCACTGTCCTAGAGGCTTACCTGGAAAATGTGCTGTTCTGTGGACCTCTTACAGGGTTCAGCAATGCTGATGCGTGTTGGTGTTGCTGGATCGCCTTGCCTACCCACAGAAAAAAAAATGTAGGGCCGTAATTTTCGCTACTTAAGGGGGAAATTAGCGTTTATTGAGCGCCCTCTTGTGTTAGACACTATTTCGTTGGCTCCCCAGGAGAGTTTCAGTGCGGAATTACCCTCTTTATTGTGAGTTGAGGCCAAAGAGTAATTTGCCCAAGGACACGGTAGCCAGGTGGTAAAACCACTGTTTCTAAATTTAGGCTGCAGTTTCTGTATCAAGTTAACAGAAGTTACTTTATTAAGTGGAGACTGCAGTAATTTCTGCCTGGCTTAAAAATCTTTAGTGGAGCCCCAAGTGTTTGCAGAATGAAGCCCAAGTGTTATATTGGGCCCCTGTCTAACTTTTCAGCCTCATTTCCCCTTTTTTCCTATATTATACAGCCCTTTTGCTATACAGGGTTTATTCCTTGCCTAGGGAACTGGAGTTTCCGGGTTTGCCCTACAATATACAGTGAGTATTATAGAAACTAGTCTGAAGGAGTCAGAGCTTGGGTTTGAATACCCTGATCTATCCCTTACTGGCTGAGTAAATCTTGAGGGTTTCTTACTGTCAACAGGACCTACATTTCCTTTTCTATAAAATAGAAATAATAGTGTCTCCTCAAAGGGTGGTCATGAGGACCAAGTGAGATGATTTCTACATAGCATTGCTTGGTAACTTTATGCTTCCTTTAGTATGTGTTAAAAAAAAAAAAGTGGTTTCCCTACATGGCTCAAAAGTTCTTTGACAACAGAGACCTTTATTCCCAACAGAGACCATTATTTTTTTCTTCACAGCACTTTGTACTGTGCATTTCATATATGAACGGTGCTCAGTGTTTGTGGATGGATGAATCCTCAGGTTCCAAACCTAGAGAATGGAGAAAGTATGTATCCGGACAAAAGCAGGGTGGTTTGGTGATTGGGTGATTTGAAGTCCTGGTCCACCATTTATGACAGTATATGTAAACGTGCCCAGCAAAATATTTTACATAGAGCAGGTAATTAATTCATGTTTGTTTTATTTCCCCCAGATGTAATCTTCACGAGCTATTTAATCACGGAGACTCTCACTTTTAAAGAGACATAAACATGAGACTTTTTAATGTGAAATTATGTATTTATTTATAGATACTGGGTTTTTTTTCTAATCCTCACTAAAGGATATGTTCCTATTGATTTAGAGGGAGAGAGAGAGAGAAAGAGAGAGAGAAACTAGTACAACTTACTACCATCTGACATTTTATATATTTATGTTTGCCTCCTCTCTGTGCAGAATTTCATATCCATGAAGGCTGGGACTACTTTCTGCACTGCTGTATCATCAACATCCCAACATCTAAAATACTTCTGGGCACATACTAGGTTCTCAATAAATATTTGCTGAATGAATGAATGAGCCAATGAGGAAGATAAGCTGCTAGATTGAGAAAAAAACAATGGCTGGGATATGGAAATCAAGGAAGAAGTATTTTAAGGAGGAAAGTGCTCAGTAGATGCGCCATGGAAATGGCCACTGAATCTGGCTGGAAACGGTACGACTGATGTAAGCACAAAGCAGGTCACAGGGTTATCAAGCAGTGCTGTAGAGCTGCACTGGTCAGTGTGGCAGCTACTAGCTGCATGTGACTATTAAGCACCTGAAATGCTTGCTTAAAGGACTGGCTTAAATATAACAAAGTTCAACTGGGTAATATTGTAGCCAAGTATGGCTGGGTAGCCCAGTTGGTTAGAGCATGGTCCCAATGCACCAAGCTTTCAGTTCGATCCCCAGTCAGGTATATGCAAGAATCAAGCAATGAATGCATGAATGTTTCTCTCTCTCTCTAAAATCAATTAAAAAATAAATTGTTTTAATTATTAAAAGCTGGGAAGTTGGTGGCATGTTTGAAAAGAGCAAAAAAGGAGAGCATTTGAAATGGCATTACATAAAAACATGTCTGTAATAGGTAAGAGGCAAAGACAATTAGAACATAGGCAACAAAAGTTGCCTTTAAAGAGGAAGAATACTATAGAATAAATTATTGGATGTTTGAGATAGAGAGAAAAGCCAGTCTTTCCTCGTGAGTGCCGAGAAGTTAGGCCATATAGTTTGGAGAAATTGAAACAGCATCTGAGGTTCTGCTAAGTTCCAAATTCTAAAAAATTTGGAAAATTAAAATCAATAAGTTCAAACTGGATGAGCTTGCCATTGTGATTTATCTACATAAGAGAAAAGCAGTCTTAGAAATCAGTTGCTGCTTGCCCATTTGGAAAGGGGTTTTTTCTTTTTTGATAATCCTCACCTGAAGATTTTTCAAGACTGGGAGAAAGGGAGGGAAGGAAAGGAAGGAGGGAGGGAGGGAGGAACATCAATGTGAGAGACACATCGATTGGTTGCCTCCCTCACAAGCCCCGGTGTGGGGCAGGGATGGAGCATGCAGCCCAGGTACATGCCCTTGATCAGGAATCGAACCCAAGACCCTTTGGTTTAAGGCAGTGATGCTGAACCTATGACATGCGTGTCAGAGGTGACACGGGAACTCATTTTTTTGGTTGATTTTTCTTTGTTAAATGGCATTTAAATATATAAAATAAATATCAAAGATACAAATCTTTTTTATACTATGGTTGCAAATATCAAAGAATTTCTATATGTGACACAGCACCAGAGTTAAGTTAGGGTTTTTCAAAATGCTGACACGCCGAGCTCAAAAGGTTCGCCATCACTGGTTTAAGGGCCGACAGTCTAAAGGCTGAGCTACACCAGCCAGGACAAGGGTTTTTTTTTTCTTTTAATTCCAGTGATGCATTACTGAAATAAGAGCATATTGTTACACAGAAATAAGAATGTACTTCTTAAAGGGATATAATAACTTGTATATACTACTAGAAATTCCATACACTCCAATGAAATTCCATTCAATTTGAATGGATAGTCTGAATATTTACTTAGCACTTATGTGCCAAACACCATATTAAATATTTTATGAGTCAAGAATTATTTATAATCTTTTTGTGAATGAGGATAAATTTCAAGAGATTAAGCAATTTAAGCAATGTCAGAGCCTATGAGGGTGGGGCTGGAACCCTAGGAGCAGGGCTGGGAGACTACTGAGGTGCCCCTAGGAGCCTGGTTTGCCTTACTGTAGTGCTGGTCCTGCCAGGGAATCTTAACCTTATTCTTTAACCTCTATGCTATTTTAACTTCAATGTACCTCAAGCAGTTCAAGTATTAATGCTTTGCCACTTTAATAGGGTCTAACAGTTGAAATTAATAATCACACCATCAATTCTAAATTTACACATCACTTCCTCAAGGACCTTCCTGATCCCAAGTTTAGGTTAGGCATACCTTGTTTTTCTATTGCATTTTATACTTATAATTTATAGGCTAAAAGACGGAACTTTAAAGTCAGATCTTTTGAGATACTTAAAGGCTGAATTATTTTGAGTAAATTTTCCTTATCTGTAAAAAACGTATTAACAGTACCTATAACTTAGTTGTTTAATTCATGTAAACTGCATTCTGTTCGGCACAAAGTAGGTACTTAGTAGTATTTGGTAAAAGTTAAGCACTGCTTTAAGAAATGCATGGGATAGCACCTTATGCTAATTTTCAGTTCAGAAACTAGGTAGAAATGATTGGCCATACATCTCTATTTCCCATGTTTTCAAAAATGTTAATGGTGCAGGTAGTCTTACATGAATATGGTTCCTAAAGTTCATTTCTTAGGAAACAAGCACGTATTTTCTCAAGTATATTAGGACTCATTAGGTAGTGAGTGGCAGAAACCCAGCTCAAACTGGCTTAGGCAAAGGGGAGTTGGTTCATTAGATACCAGGGTATCACATGAAGTTTTTACAACCAATAAATGCTAAAGGAAATCTATAGCTAGACTTCAGAGACATTCGGAGGCAGAGATTTGAACAGCTCCAGAAATTGATCTTATTTCTGTGGGGTAGGCTTCACTCTCTCCTGGCTTCTTTCATAGACAAGGACACATACACCATCAATTCTACAATATCCTGTTAAAGTCCACCACCAGAAAGGAACTAACACAGGCTGTCTTAGTTCTCAAGTCCAAAAATCCTGGAAAAGTGTTGTGACTGGCCTATCTTAAAGTCAGATGCCCATCTCTAAGCTTGAGTGAGGTGTCTCCTTTGAGATGATCAGCTGTGGCCAGGAGAGCCAGGTTTATAAAAATAGGGCAACTTCCATTCAATCACATGGCTGAGAAAAAGAACTATTTCCTACAAAAGGAAAGCCATATACGCCAAAGTAGCAAATTACTGTATGTAACACGTATCAAATAAGCCCTTTTCTTTTAAAAAGAAATGTTTTCTGCCCCCCAAACCCATTTTCTTTTTAAAATGTTTTTACTGATTTCAGAGAGAGGGGAAAGACAAGGGATAAAGAAACATCAATGAGAAACATTGATTGGCTGCCTCCTGCAAGACTCCCACTGAGGACTGAGCCCACAATCCAGGAATGTGCCCTGTGAACCAGTGACCTCTTCGTTCATAGGTCGATGCTCAACCACTGAGTAACGCCAGCCCGGCCCATTTTTCATTATACAGCCAAATCCCTGACATTCAAGGGATTGCTTAACCTTTTAATATCCAGTTAAACAATATACCTTAGTGCTTATGACATGCCCAGCACTGTACCAAATGTTCTGTAAGTGAACGACCACCTGAAGTTTAGAAATCTATTTTTTTTTGTTAATTCTTACTCGAGGACATTTTTTCCATTGATTTTTAGAGTGGAAGGGAGGGGGAGAGACATCAACCAAGGCTGGGGACTGAGCCTTTGATCAGAATTGAACCAAAGACCTTTCAGTTTGAGGGCCAACACTCTAACCACTGAACAAACCCACAAGGTCTCCTCTATCAATTTTTGATGAAAGAATAGTTAACATGGCTAAAAGAACATTTAAGAAGGAAAATAGAGTCTGAGATGCAAGTATTCATAAAAAAGCCATACCAATGATATAACTGTTTTACTGGGCTCAACAAACTTGGACAACTCTTTTTACTTTCTAAAATTCTTTTTACATAAACAAAATATATTTCCAAAGTTTGCAGATATTTAATAAATTGGGGAGAGATACAATACTTGTTTGGAAAGACAACTCTTTAAAGAGCAAGTGAATTCCATTCAGGAAGAAACAAACAAACTGTATTTCCAATCCATTTATTTCTTAAGCTATCAAATACTTCTCTTTCAAGTCACTTTTTCTGTGTGTATTTATTTAGAGAGCCTTTTGGAAATGAATTAATAGTCTTTTTTATTCTGTTGACTAATTCTTGAGGATGTTGAGAAATCTCCAGATAACCTGTATGTTTTCTCTTAGGAACAAACTTCAGAGCCTCTTCCCAACTACCAGTGTTTTTCAGACATAACAAAATACGTGTTACTTGATCTATGGTGAGATTTTTTGTACCAGTGTCCCACTGTAAATATTTATCTAATGGAAAGCATTCTGTTGCCAGATTCAGCCGTTTTGCCTTGGCTAGGGATGCGCCTGGCTGCATGTTCTTATCAACAAAAGATCCCACTATATAAATTTTGTCATGCTTGAAAGTAGTCATAACATTGGGAGAATCTGCAGTTAGATATATAATACTGTCCTTTGGAAATAAATCTACGTGAGACTTTTCTGTTGCTGTTAAAAGCAATTTGTTCCATTTTTCTCCATAACGTTTAATTAACTCTCTACGAAAAGGGCTATCTGGTTTAAGATTGCAGAAATGAATATGGAAAGGATCGACATCTCTTCTGTTCCATCCTTCGCTTTCTAGAAGCTGAGAAACAGTATACTGCAGTTCTTTTGGTTTCATATAATCATCATAAGCCATGTCAAAAACCAAAGGTTGTCCAAACTGCATGGCCTGGGCACCCTTCCAGCCCATTGCTATGTCCATATTCCTATCCCAAAGTCGTAGAAATAGAAAGTCTTGCTGTTTATCTTGGTTAGTGGTTTCTAGCAGCTGGTCTTGTATTGCTTTTTCCCTTGCTGCTGCTTTCATTTCCTTTTTTATTTGCTTAGCTTTCTTCATTTTCTCCCTAAGATATAAATATTTTAAATATTTTTTTTTTGATGATTTAGAATCACATTCCATAATGGTTTTGAGCTCTTCTTCACTGATGTGTTCTGGTACTTCCCTGCCAAGCAATCTCCACATCTCAATTAATTCCCTAGTGGCAGCTACAGGATCTTCATCCTTGGCACTTGAGACTGTTGAAACACCTTCTTGCACACTAGATTTCATTGTAATTTTCCACCCATCCAATTCCAGCTGTTCAGGTGATGTAGTTTCCTTTTTAGGACAGGATTCAGCTGGTATTTTGGAAGACATGTATCTGTGCAGAATCGTTGAATATAAAACCCTTCTCTTCCTATTAAGGGTAAATGGCACCAAAACTCTGGCAAAAGGTCTTATGAAGGTGATACCAATACTCATTTTGAGGAAAACAGGCATGTAAGAAAACCCCTATAAAAGAAGAAAAATGTCATGAAAAGTTAAAGATTAAAAAACCCCTCTAACTACAAGTATAAATTTGAGACATTCAAATGCAATCAATTTCTGAAACACAAAGTGGAATCTTAGTACAACTTTATTTGCTGCACCATTAATTTTTCCTAGACTCCTGTGGCCTAGAGTCTATGATCACTCACTAAGCAAAAGTGTAAAACTTATTTGGGTTCTTATTTTAGACATGAATTTCACTATTGCTTTAGGCAAAAGGATACTTTGAAGTTCCTTCAGGGCCCAGAAAATCAATATTATTAGGTAACAGTTATATACCACTAATGTGGCTAAGGTCATGATATTGTATTCTTCTCCATTCTATACTAACCCCGATACAGAGTGGATCACCCACCCTGTACAGACCCAAACATAAGATCCGTACCATTAGCAACACGTGAAAACAAGGGGCAGAAAAGTTACAGAATTTGACAACTGGTAAAAAAAGCACTTGGGAGCTTCTCTACCAAGGCTCTCACATTTTCGAAACAGAAATATAAAGAGATCTACTGATTTTAAAACAAACAAACCTCCTTTCCCTAGTTCAGACTTTATTTTGCAGCAAATAATGTTACTGCCAAACAAAATGTCCAAACTAAGGGAAAATATATATAAGCTCCACAGTTTATCCTACAGGTCTGGGGTCCACAAGACAATGAAGACCC